TTCGGAAAAAAGATTTGTTACAATGTTCACACTTGTATGGTTTCTCTTCTGTGTGGATCATTAAATGTGTCTTAAGAACTTGTTTTTGGGTAAAACATTTGTTACAATGTTCACATTTGTATGGTTTCTCTCCTGTATGGATCATTAAATGTCTGTTAAGATTTGATTTTTGAATAAAAGATTTGTTACAATGTTCACATTTGAATCGTTTCTCTCCAGTACAAGTAACTTTACGACACATATGTACATGGCTGCTCATAAAACCTATATTGCAAATATTACATTTGTAAGGTTGAGTATGAATATTCAAATTATCAGATGTGCTTTGCGCACATCTTGCATCATCTACATTTGGAAGCTGCAACACCACCGGACCTATGACAATTTCTTCCTTGATTTCATGATCTGCATACAGCTTCATCGTTTCTGGGGTATGTTCTTCAGAAACACTAACTGGCTCTTGTTTGATGTTGATATTTACATGTAAACCCATTGGGCTGTTTTCTAATTCGCTTGTCTCCTTTTTAATGTTCATAATATCTTGTACATCCATGTGGGACACTGTTAGCTGTTGCAGACAATTTAATTGTATACTTACTATTGTAATGTGCATAAAGGTATAGTCATTTCTCACAGTGAGTTCTGAAGGTTATTTATTGTTCAGTTTTAATCTGAAACAAAGAATAATGCATAAATTAATGACATATCTTATTTAACAGATTTTTAGCCAGTATTGAGTATTAGACAGGTTGGCTGACAAGAAAGGCTTTTCCTTGTTAAATCTGCCAAATGACAAAGAAATCCTTGCTATTGTAATATACAGGTATAATCACGGCTTAACTGAACATTACCAACACTCGAGAGTTGTAAATAATATAGTGAATTTTCTATAATATTTACTTCCTTAATATTATAGAAAATTAATATTAATTTCCTTATATATTAACTTACGGAAACTCACAGTTCTGCATATATATTATTAAAATTATTGGAAAAATAATGATTTTGTAGGTTAGGAACTGTAGATTACCACAGCACGAGCTGAGAGTTGAAAGTAATATGGTGAATAGACTACATAGCTACTAGTCTAATTGTAAAATATTAACTTTAGGAAACTCGTAGTTTTGATACATTGACCTACCAACAAATGGACGTCGGGTCTAATACAAAAACCACGAAAAAAATGTCCGAAGTTAACCTATACAAACGTAGTGACATGTAACGAAATATAAAAAACTAAAACATTTAATTTAAATTGTAACGTCATTGCAGTACTGCCTAATTTTGCTTGCAACAATGTAAGGTCCCAAAAACACCATATTCAGCTTCTACTGGAAATTTAACAAAATGCACCACATTTAGCTTCGACTGAAAATTACTTGAACACAAGAGTAATGGAGTAGCCTTTATCGTAAATATTAATTAATTTTTATATATATCATTATGTCGAATTTTGTACAAACTCACTTAAAGAAATACATACAAATATTACTACAAATGTGAAAATAAGCGTGTACTATAAGAAATGTACCGATATTCTAACTAAACGTAAACTCAAATATCCGTAATTCCGAAAACCGATTTATAATAAAACCGTTACGCTTTCGTGTAATTTTAATGCTTTTCACAAATACAAAATTAGTTGTTATTTTGTAATCTTCCTAAAAAAATACATTTGACATTATGAAAATTCGAGCTAACATTATTTCGGGCAAATGTATTTTCTGACTTCTAATAGGTAATCCCAAGCCGTAAAACGAGTACAACAATATTTTGTTAGTTATTGCTAATCATTTTAAAAATAAAATTAAAATCAAAGCGACTGTATAGTTTCTTTGTTTTAAATATTTCAATCGCTTGTGGTTCGAACAATTGAAAATGACCAAGAAGTTTATATATAAGCTTCTTGAAATTGACACAGTGGGTCTCTTTCCATCTTTTGCGCATGCAATGTGTAGAAAAAGGACAGTTAGCTATTTCATTATTTTGTGTGCTTTTGTAATTTATATTTACGATTCATTTATACATATATAAATTAAATACTATAAAATTGTACAAAATAACATTTTTAAATGAGAACTATAATAACATAATATATTTGTTTAGCGAAAATATGATACAAAACCCTGTTTTTACACTTTACTGCAGTAATTTTTTTTTTTAAGTTATTATTATATGGTACCTACTGCATGATTGACTGACAACCACGCTGACAGTCGAACAAACGAAGACTGTTCTGAAACTGAAGACTGTAGGTCAATGTTTTGATAATAAAAATTATTGTAATATTAGAAATTTTTTTTTACTATTAGTTTCACGGCATCGGAATAAATCCATCAAACCAAATCTTCAATTATTTTTTTCCTATCTTTTAAATAAATCTTTCAATGTATTCTTCTAAGTATTTGAAGGTATCTACATCTCTTCAATGGTGGAAAGAATGTATGCATATATAAGTATGTTTAAGGAAGTCTTCGTATTCTGTAGTAAAGATGGCAACAGGCGAGGGATGTCTTCTTCTTTGTAAATCTTTAGTAGGCCATCTATAAGAAGCAGTCTTTGCACACTGAAGGCAGGGCAATGTAGAAGTAAGTGATCGAGAGTGGCTTCATCAGTATTACAATGTTCACATGTGGCTGAATTTCTGAGTTTTAATCTGTTTAAATGAGCTGCGAATTTTCCATGTCCAAAGCGTAATCTGTTGATGGTTGTTATAAATTTTCTTGATGGTGATTTTAAGTTAAAGTACCAGGGTTTCGTGGGAATATTCTTCTGTATTTCTCCATACCATTTTCCTTTCAATTGTTTCGTGTATTCCCAATCTCGTGACCAAATATCAAACATACGAGTCTTCAGTACTGAATAGTAATCGGTCATAGGAACTGATGGTGATGAATAATAATATGATGATGGATCAATTTCATTAATGTTTGGTACATTAATTTTCATTAGACTATCCACAACTTCGTTCCCCGTCATTCCTGAGTGTGATGGCCCATATAAATTCTATACGTTTATCTTTAATTTCATATAAATATTGTCTGATTTTAATGATATAGATATTAGTTTTGTAAGATATTTTATCACTCTCCAGGCAATTCAGTACACTTAAAGAATCAGTTACGATCAGGAAAAAGGAGTGATTGATGTTTGATAAATATTGAAGTGCCGCATATACAGCATAAGCTTCAGCTGTAAATATCGAAGTATTCTTGTCCAGATTAAAGCAGCGGCCAAACTTAGCAGTCGAATCATAATAGGCAGCTTTAGCGTTATCTTTGGTTTTGGATCCATCTGTGTAAATATATCGATATTGTTGTTTGTTGTTACTAATATACAACAATTCATCATTATTTAGAAGTTTTTCTTTGCAGATCACAGGACTCACAAGCTGGATTTCCAAAGTGCTAAGTACCCACTGCTCATTATGATCTATGTTCTTAATGTTTTTAATTCATTAATATGTTCCCCTTGTAATAAATTGCTGTCTTCAAACAAACAAAAATATTGCCTATTGGCTAAAACTTTCATTGTGAATTTTTCTGTAAGATATTGAAGTCTTACATAAATTGGACATACACCAGCCTCTATCTCTAAAGAATTAATGAGTGTAGAACATATTGTACCAGTTATGATTCGAAGAGCTTTGTTTTGAATGACTTCCAATTTGCGAAATAGGGATGGGCTCATAAATTTTCCAAAAACTATTAATCCATAATCATAGTGACTTCTAACAATTGCCTTATAAATGATATTTAAAAGTTTGGGGTCCATGCCCCAACTTACACTCGCTAAATGGCGCATTATATTTACACGTTTTTGCATTTTATTCACTATTTTATTAACATGGGAACTAAAAAGCCTAAGTAAGTAATTAAGATTAGCCGTGATTTCATCTTGACATTCAAATCCTAATTGCTTGAGGCACCTCGTGCTTAGAAAAGGCGCAGAGGCAATTCCGTACGTAACGGTGTTAAACTGGAAGATTTTGATTGGCTGATCGATCTGGTCTCTCCATAGAACGAGTTGTAAATCAAATCTCCCTCAACGAGCATCAGCGTCTAATGCTCGTTGAGGGAGATTTGCCTATACATCTTCTCAATATCAGCAGTAAGGACATACCTGTTCGTGCGGAAACGCAATAGTATTGAAAATAGATCACCTTGTACGACTGGACCAATAGCTTGAATGTCATTCAGAGACTTGCCTGTACTTATCTTCGCAGATGCATCGAAAACGACCCGTAGCTTAGTTGTTTCCTTTTGCTCTCGAATTATACAATGATGTGGTAAGTAATAACCTAAAGATGGCCGCTCAACTGCGATCATGTGTCCTAAATCAGCATATTCCTTTAAGAAATTACGATATTCATCCTTAACATTAGGATTTTTTCCAATTTTTTCTCTAAATTGAGAAAACGTTTCATAGCTATAGGATATGAATTGCCGAGAGACTTCTCTGGCTTTTCCTTGAATGGCATCATTACAGTGAATCGACCATCAGGTAAACGACTTGTATTTTCTACATAGTGAGATTCACAAAATTCTTCGTCAACCGAAAAAGATTTGCAATCGGAAGGTAACTCTTCCACCTCCCAGAAGCGTTTCAGAGAGTATTCGACGTCTTATAGTGACGTTTTGTGCCTTGTAGTGGTTAAATGACAATTACTATTAAATTTGTAGTAGCTCTCTCCTGCGAGTCCAGCCACTATCCTTCCCAGTTTGCTATCTTGCAGGTTTGGCTTATTTTTTCCCAATTTTATTTGTTTGGAGTTAATAATTTCAAAAAACTTATCTGCCCCCAACAAGATGTCAATCTGCGGTGGTTTGTATAATAGAGGCTCAGCAAGCTCAACCTCGTGCGGCAGATCCAATCTTCTAAAATCGACCTTAATATTAGGTAAGTTGCCCGTGATTGTTGGAATTACCAGACAATCTGCAATTAATGCAAACGAATTAACGCGAGATTTATTTGAACTCGTTCAATTATTTCTGTTTCCTTACTGTTGATTCCCGAAATTTTAAATGAATTTATTTTATTAGCGGGTAGTCCTAACTTTTTTCTCAAGTTTTGTGTAATAAAAGACGACTGACTTCCTGTATTCAACAACACACGAGCAAAATAATTCGAATCACTATTTGAACCACAATTTTCGACCTGAGCCGTACACAACAGCACTTGACCCGATGTGCCAACCGCCAAATTACGTGATGAATTGACGTTTTCCGTCCTATCTGTAGTTACAACATTATTACTACTGCCCTTGTCACTATGCAAAAGCGAATTGTGTTCTTTCCGCAACTACGACAGGAACCTTTAAGAGTGCATTGTGGACCCTTATAGCCTGTACGAAGACAATTGGTACAAAGCTTATTTTTTGTCACCTCAACAAGCCTGTCTTCAAGACTCATTGCCTTAAATTTAGTACACTGATAAATATGATGGTTCTCTCCGCACACTAAACACGGCAGACAGAAGCAACAAAACTTTTTGAACATTTTATATCTTTACTAACACCTTCGTTTTCATTAGAACGACCACAATACATTGTCT